TGAGTATCTCTGCCTCCTATGGACAGTAAAATCGAAACAGTATCTACTCAATTCTCTGATATACGAAATTCTAAAGCATTAAAAAAGTAGAAAAGCAAATACTATTTGTGAAGTACAGGATAAAAAAACCGACAGTACGTGGAGTATCTCAAAGTGATTGTTTAGGGTATCAAAATCTCAGGAAAATTTGTGTAAACCAACCATCTCCTGCTCGTAATGAATTCGTGCAATTTCACTATCGCTTCCACTGGTTTCATCATCGTTCTCCGAGAAATCTTTCTCTGGACTGCTTTGCGCGAAAACATCACTCAAATGCTGATGCCTGGGAAACATTTACATATTGTGCAATTCAATCATTACACCTGAAGTGCAAGTAGAGAGTTCTCTTACGCTTTCTAATCTCACAATCATATCGTTTCCCCCTCCGCTTCTTCCTGTCGTCATTCTCTTTTCTATGCCTTTTCCATTAAACACTGCGACCGTCATACTGATGAGGTCCTGTCGTGCGGTGTTGAGTTAAGACGTATATGACTTAATGGACCGAAACCTCTTATCTCAATTTAAGGCGTATATGATTTAATGGACCGAAACGTCTTATCTCACTCTTACCTTCTTTTCTCATACTGTTCTTTTATGATGAAATCTATTGCGCCATCGTCAAAAAAAAGGTTTCTAGAGTTAAACTGGTTGCTACAATTGGCTAGGTTTTTAAAAAACACCTAAACTTAGAAAAACACTTAAACAATAAAAAGTGCCCTTTTTGAGCGCCATTTATCAAACAGAGCTGAATATCGAGATTATGTCCGCTACCTAATATGTTTCAAAAAACAAAAAACATCCGTCTCTGGGAAAGATTAGCAAAAATTAAATTATATGAATGAGAAAAAAAATCACTTAGCATAGGCGGAAGTATCAAAGGAAGATTGCGGACGACGAGGTAACGTGTTCTCACCGGAATACAGCTCATGTGCTATGCGATGGCCAAGATATGGACCAACTGTCTGTCTACCACTTGGATACATGCTGCAA